CCCCCTGCCTTTGCCCCCCTCATCCTACCTGCACACCCACGGCTCTGGCTCGTCCTAATGCTCCCGCAGAGCGCTACCGAGTCCTTCATCCATGCGTGCGGAGCCTCCGGGAGGGACGGACAGGAGGGACTTCTGTTGGACCTGAGCTCATCCTTGCATTCTGAGATCACTGAGATTTCACAGTCACATGGACCCATTCACCTCCAGGGAAGTCCTATCTGAGGAGCATAAATCTTGCTACCGTAGAGTGCTCTGGGGAAGTGAAAGACAACCTAGGAGGCTCCTTCGAGGATGTAATTCTGCTACTCATCCTCTGCATGAGACTCTCCCTAAGAAAGCTAAACAAGTTGAACATAGCTGGGAGGAGGGGACAAGGGACAGGATCCATTATGCTCACACCTGTCCCCTTCTCCAGACCACGAGCTCCCTGAGGGAAGGAACAGTATCCGATATGTTTCTTAAGCCCCAGGGGATAGATAGCAGACGTAGCAGGTGCTTTGCCAGCATTTGGGGAAACAGAAGGAAGGAGAGAAGGGAGATAAGAGGAGGGAGAACAAGGAAGGAGGAGATGAGCACAGTCTGGGTAAAGCTTCAGTTCCACCTGCCTGAGCTTCCTTCCCTCTAGCCCCACATCCTACCTAAAGGGCATTTTAAAATACTCTTTCCATTCGAAAAAAAGACACTGGGTCTGAAGTAGCCAAGGAGTCTGTGCATTTCCTCCTTTTCAGGGTCTAGGCCTGATAAATTGAGTATTTTTGTTTGTTGGGTTAGAGTCTAATTTTCAACATTCTTCCACTTCAATTCATCCCCGGGGGCCTGGAAGTTCCCCCTGAAGAAGCCTCACCAGTGCCCTAACACAGGATGCAGGCTCGGATGCTCACTCCAGACTCTGTGCAAACCCGCTCAGCTCTGGCACATCCCCAGGAACTCATTTCCTCAGCCCCGGTCATGCCAAGCACAACACATCCAAGATGGCATTTTTTTATTTGGCTGTTTATCTAACTTCCTCTTCTTTAATTTTCATATTAGGCATTTCTAGATGAGAGACTGATGTCACGGGGCCTCTTTCCAGATTTTGTTTTGAAATCAGTGTAACCATGGTATTGCTGGAGACTGAGGAGTCCATCTGGGCCAACTGAGTCACGCCTGGGGGCAGGGCAGGGCAGGAGCCGCGGCAGGGACTAGAATGTCCCTGCGAGAAGGGGAGGGTGGGGTGTTATTCAATACTGAGGCACCCCCAGGAAGGACATTGGGACCAGCTGTCACCTTTGACCCTCATGCCCTGGCACTCTTGATAGAAGACCTGCTCAGACATTGAAACCCTCACTTGCTGAGAATCCGATCCTGGGTGGTTCAAGATCACCCGTGCTCCTGAGAAGGAAAAACAAGAGCTCATGTTGGGTTCCAAGCTGGCCACAGTAGCCCTCCTGTCCTTCCCGGGCCATCCTTGCCCCCAGCGTGACTTAACTGTGCCCATTACCCCTTCCCCACCTCCGAGCCTCCGTTCCTGCCCCTCCGCCTGCTCACACCACTCCCTGCGGTCAACAGGCGCCTCCTCCAGGGTGCCTTTCGGCAGATAGAGCTGCATATCCCCCAGTGTTCCCGGGCCTCCCCTTACATGTCTGCACCCACACCCTGAAACAGGAGAGATGTGTGCTGTCCCCATCTCCACGAGCACCGCAGAAGCTACAACTCTTCATGCTCCGGACACATTGGAGGTGCTCAGGAAATGCTACTGGATTCATTACTTTATCACTCAACAACAGTCAGTGTCCCCCTCCTAAACCGGAAATAGTGATGATAATGCTAAGTAAGGAATTACTATGTGCACTGTACTTATGTAAATACTTATCACTTAATCCTGATAAAAACCCCTGTGAGCTAAACAATATTGTTCACATTCTCCATTTAATCAGTGAGAAAATGGAGGCATGGGGAAGTAACGTGAATTTCTGGGATGGTACAGCTACCAGATGGAAAAGTTGGACTCAAACCCAAGCAGTCAGACTAATGAGCCCACACCCCCTAAACCCTGTGCCATACGGCACCCCGCCCCCCAAAATACTGATGCAGCCGTGACTACCTTCCTCCCGAGGTTTTGGGGAGACAATAAGAGCTGCGGATACATTATTTAAACCATGAAAGTATGATGCACCTGTGCATCATGGAGACCAAAGAGGTGAAGCCTGTCTGACTCCTGGCCAGTTTCCTCCCCTTCATCTGGCTCTCCCCCGTCATCCAGCCTCCCGCCACCGGACAGGTGCCGTCTACAGAGCTCCAGACACACACAGAAGTCCTCAGTGCCTCCTCACCTCCATGTCTTCGCGTATGCGGCTCCTTCCACCTAGGATTCCCCGCCACCCACCCCTGCTGAGCCGAACCCCGGGTCCTTCGGGGAACATCTCCTCGGTTCCTGATCATGTGTCCAGCCCGGAGTGTTTCCCACCTCAACACAGAGCGTCCGCTTTCCCGGGGTTGCTCAAGTCAAAACCGGAAGTGAAGCCTGCTGCCGCCCATCTCCTCACAAGACAAATCCGGACAACAAATGCCCTGGGTTTGCCTTGAAAATAAATCTACTCTGACCATTCTCAGTGCGACTACCGCCGTCTTAGAGCCCCATCACCTCTGGCCAGGGTTATTGCCAAAGCCCTAGCTGGTCCCCCACGTTGCACTCTCCCCTCAGTAGCCAGAGTGCTCCCCTGCTGGGCTGGGCCACTCCACTGCTCGCTCAGTCTCCCATCCTTCTTAGAACAAAATTCCAAGCGTGCCCTGGCTACCACCCAGCTTCACCTTCTGCCGCCCTCCCCTGTCCAAAATCCCCCAGGCACACTCTTCCCCTTGCCACTGCAAATCACTCATTTCTTCATGTCTTTGCATATGCTGTTCCTGCTGCCTGGAATGCTCTTCCCCATCTGAAACGTTCAGAGGACTCACTGGTCCACCTCCTTCAGGTCGCTGCTCAAATGTCCCTTCTTCAGAGAAGCCTTCACGATCACCTTCCCAAAAAGGACAGTGAACTCTCCCCTCATCACTCTCTATCCTCTTTTGCTGCCTAAGATTTTTTCAGAGCCCTTCACTGTTTAATGTCATATCACATATGAGGTGTTCATAGTTGTCCCCCCCACCAGAATAAGAGTTGTGAGAGGACAGGGACTGGGTCTGTACGGCCCACAGGTCGGTACTCTGCAAACACTCACTGAATGTACTGATATCCAACGCCAGAGACGCGCTCCCTCTTTGTGAGCCTCCAACAGCCCTTCGGAGTGTATTCTCTACTCCACTTCAGACAAGATCCTTGAGGGCAGGGATCCTTCCTGAGCATAACAGGTGCTCAGGAAACACTTGTGCAATTAAATAGAAGCAAGTGAATGATTCATTCTGGGTGTCTGTTGGAATCTCCAAATGGTTTTTGAATCTCATTTATCTGAGCTCTAACCTGGACAACGTGATCTCGTCATCAATAAATTTGACTCTCAGCTGGTGGGTTGTATACTAGTCACATCATTCACGGCAAACCAGGAGCCTGGCCAGGCTCCCCCAAACCCACTGGGATGCTGGTCCCTCCTTCTGTCCTACTGGGTGAGCTCAGGTCATACCAACAGAAGTCACATCGTGGGTGATGTAGTAACCCGGGCTGGGTGAGGCCCTTGCGGAAGCTGCTTGTGTCTGGAGATCACCGGGGCTATCCCCTCTCTGGGGCCTGACCTGCTAACCTGCTGTATAATGTTCCATGATAGTGTTTATTGTATACATGTTAAACAGTGGTTTTCCCCTGCAAGGAAGCAAGTTGTGCAAAGGTCCTGGATCCCCTCCACTGGGACTGGAATGCCTTCCCCACTTGCTGTTGACAATCGTGTGACCGTGCCGATAAGGGGTGGAACAAACCCTTCCCGGCTGGCCTGTCGTGGGGTAAGCTGCACGACCTCCAAGGTTCTGGGCTGCTTGGACCCTTGAAAAACCCCACCTTGGATGGAGGGCTGAAGACTCAGTACTCAATTGAGAATAATTCAAGAGTAAAATACTTGAGTCAGCCTCTGTCCCCTGGTGCCTTGCAATCTCCATCTCGTTGTGATAACACAACTTGAAATATGGTCTAATGGAAGAGAGGGCATTCTGAATTTTGGCAGGTCTCCAACCACTACCTAGCTTCCCTCACTCCCTCACCATGGCTCCTCTTATCAGCTCCAGCACTCACACCCATGTGGGAACTGGCAGGGGCGTCCTGTCCTGTCCGGTGGCAGGAGGCTGGATGACGGGGGAGAGCCAGATGAAGGGGAGGAAACTGGCCAGGAGTCAGACGGTCATAATGTGATATGACATTAAACAGTGAAGGGCTCTGAAAAAATCTTAGGCAGCAAAAGAGGATAGAGAGTGATGAGGGGAGAGTTCACTGTCCTTTTTGGGAAGGTGATCGTGAAGGCTTCTCTGAAGAAGGAACATTTGAGCAGCGACCCGAAGGAGGTGGACCAGTGAGTCCTCTGAACGTTTCAGATGGGGAAGAGCATTCCAGGCAGCAAGATCAAACACACTGATCCTCCATCCCTGCCCTGAGTGACATAAGGTCTGCTACTCGCCCAGGCCCCGTAAGTCAGTGACCTGAGCTGCGAGGGTATGCTGGAGAGTGCCTGCCTGAGATGAGAACCTGCCAGTATACTGACCATCGCCCTTCGCATTTTCCAGCAGGGATCCAGGCTCAGTTTACCTCCCACCACCACAGCATCTCACTGAGTCTCTCAAGTGAGAAGGTTAACTGAGCCTGATTCACTACCATGCTCATTATTGTCATTCCCGTGATCCCTGCCTCAACTTCTTCCTTGCTTTTGCTCAGAATTAGAACTCTGTGCCTTCCTGATCTCAGAGTAAAAGGGTTCAAAGACTTTCATTCAGAGCACCCAAAACCAACCACAGAGTCTTCCAACGCCGCAAGTCCTGGGCATACCTTCATGAAGAATAGCCTCCTACAGCTCTTGCCTCGATCACTTGCAGCTGCTTGGAGGTGAGCCGCCTCAGAGGCCAACGCTAGATCAGGAATGCTGCTGGGCCCAGCCTCTGACGTATCTGCCAACTGCACAGACGAGTGGAAAATCCCCTCCTTGCCCTGGCCCAGGGAAACCTCAAAGGGATCAGGGTATTTCTCATCGGGGCTTGAGCTGTCATCACTGGTCTTTGCATTACAGAGCATCAGGGACCGGGAGATGGACCGGAGTTTTGTAGATTTTCTGCTCTTTCCAGAACGGCTGTGCGGATCCATCCTCAGAGAGGAAGTAAGGCTGCCCTTCTTCTTCTCCTGATCTGTGGCCCTTGGGTGGCGGGTGGTGACCGGACTGGGCTTGGCCACCACCTCGTGGGTCCCTGGAGGAAAGAGGAAGCAGAAAGAAGCAGTGTGACTTGCTACTGACAAGTGGAGCGGGACAAGAGGCCTGGAACAGAGCGACGGGGAGCTGGTGCCCATGAGGCAGGGCAGCCGGGGAGATCCTCCTTTGGTGGCACTGGCCTGCCCATGTGGCCCACCACATGGGGCTCGGGGAACCCCAGTGTTTACCACCCCCTCCACTCCCAGAAGCCAGAGCTTCTCTTATCCAAACCCTCACTCTGCAGACAGGGAAACTGAGGCACGGAGAAGGGAAACGCAGACCCAAAGCCACGAAGCGCCGTGGAGTCACGGGATGTCTTTAGAGATGACAGAGGTCCGAGCTTTGTGACGTCTGTGCTTCCAACAAGTTTGCAGGGGCTCCAGTCTAGGGAGCGGGTTCGGGGGGGAAAAGGGGACGAGGATGTGCCTGCCTGTCCCCTTTCACCAGCCCCAGTGAGTCCTGTAGCATCTCCAGAGAAACCCCAGAATCCAGGAGCCCAGTCTGAGAACCGCTGCTGCCTCATCCTCCTTTCCAGATGCAGAGCCTGTGACCCGGTTTGGGAGTGTCACCCGGTGCCGACCCGTCAGGGCGATTGAGTGTACGAGGCGGTAGGTCACAGCCTGGCCAGGGCCTCCCCGCCCATCCCCATCTCACAGCCTGACTGAGGGAGGACCAGCTTCACACACCGGTCAACCCCACCTCTCTGAGCCCAGCCCGCCTGGCTCGGCGTCACCACGAGGCCCCTCCTTCGGCTTCAGGTCCCAGGAGGCAGGTGGCAAAGGGGTCCGTCCAGAGCTCCTGACTCCGGCCCAAGCCACAACGCAGAGCCATTGCCAGAACAGGAAACCGTGGGGCTGCCGTGTGCACAGCCAGGGTCGAATAAGGAAAAGCAGAGACCTTCCAACATTTCATTAACTAGAAGCCCTTTCAGAGCCCCCGAAAGGAGCATTTCTTCTTAAAAGAAGACTGTTTTTCAACACCTACATCACACACATTGATTGTTTTCTGTATTAGCCCTTTAATTTTATCAGTTTATTCACCATCTATAGCAACCAACAGCAATGAATGAAAAAGAATGAATGAAAAAATACTGGAAAGCTCGCTCTATGTCAGGCATTGCTCTGGATGCGTTAGCACAAATTAACTGGATGTCGGTCCATTTCATCAAGCCACCCTCTTCCCAGTATCTCAAACTCTGTACTCTATGTCCTTCCATCTGAAGTAAGGGAGAACCCTCCACCTTTGCTGAGCCCCATGCCTGGCTGCAGGGTGCCGAGCCCTGCAGAGGACACCCCCACCCCCGAGCGCAGGGGACACCCCCACCCCCGAGCAGACTGCTGCCATGGGACACCCGTGGCCGCCCCCCGGTTCCCCCCGGCTCTGGCCAACAGTTACACGGTGTTTCCATAGTTAGCCTGATCGTACATTCTCAACAACGACAATCTCAAAACTTTCCCTTCTTAGAAACTAGATTCCCCTCCCTTGCCATCATAGACAATGTCTCCTCCTGCTTCATGCAAATGCAGAAGCTGTCAGAGAGCAATCCTCCCGGCTTTCTACCATCGAATTTGCACATGCATTTGCCATCCACACATACTCTCCACACCCTTGGTAGTGGAACGCCCGCCCTCCCATTGAGGCTGGGCCCTCCCCCCATCCCCATCTGTTCTCTGGCTCCCACTCCTCCAGAGTGTTGATGCACAGCAACAACAAAATAATAATTGCTAATATGTATCCAGAGCCTGTGGTATACCAGGCACTGCTCTGATTGCTTTTACTGTTTCATCCTCACAAAAATCTACTGTAGTCTCCATCAGTATCCTCAGTTTACAAAAAGGATCACCGAAGCACAGAGAGGTTACGTCACTTTCTCGAGATCTCACAGCTAGGGCTCGGTGACAGCAGGAATTAAACCAGGCAGCGTGACTCTGGAGCCTACTCTCTTCCACAGCTTCACGCTGACACTGATTATCATCCCTCTCACGGCCAGGTCACCTACTCTCTCCTCCGCACCGGGTCTCCAGCAACAGGGTGGAAACATACTCAGATCGCTTCTGTTTTTTAAAAACCATGCGTCGAGGGGCGCCAGGGTGGCTCAGTCAGTTCTTGATTTCGGCTCAGGTCGCGATCTCAAGGTCCAGAGATCGATCCCCGCGTTGGGCTCTGCGCTGGGCGTGGAGCCTGCTTGAGATTCCCTCTCTCCCTCTGCCCCTCCCCCCGACGATCTGCTCACGGGCAAACGCTCTCTCCCTCCAAAAAAAAAAAAAAAACAAAAAAAAACACAACTATGTGTCAACTCCACATCCTCCTTTTGTTATCTGCCTCTCTCTTATCCTCTTCATCTCTTCCCTTTTTCCCTTTGTCTTTTATTACAGTGAGAATTCTTCACACGAGGTCTATCATCTTAACACAGTTTTAAGTACGCACACAGCACTGTTATCCTCGGCACCATGTTGACAACGGAACGTTATTCCTGCTTATCTTCTTGAACAAGTACTTCACACCCTGCACTTTCTCTCCTCATGCTCACCTCCCCTTCCAGCCACAGCCCACAGTCTGTTTCTTTCCCCTGAAACCACTGAAACTCTCATTTTATCACTTCTGCATTTTATGTGCCCCTAAGTCATGAACCGGGCCCAGCGGGCACAGTCGCTTGCCAAGAAACTGCTTCGTTTTGAGAGGATTTGTTAAAACCAGACATGCAGTGCTCAGATCTATTGGCTGAAGAATACATAGAATTCAAGCTTTTTAGTGTTTTATTTTTCCCTTCTCATTACTCACCTTTACTCCAGATGCCCCCTTTCAAATCCAAATGGTAATGCTCATCATCCCCAAAACAGGAGTTCTTTTGATTCTGTCAGTTCAACTTCCCAGAACCAGTAACTCTCAATGCAAAGGTCACTATGAGTATTTATATATTTATATCCAAATTTCTTTGCATTTTGTTAACTTCATCAGGACTCTCCACAGCTCACCTGGGCCGCATGGAGAAGGGTGTGTGTGTGTGTTGCTCATAGCCAGCCCTGGTCCATCAGGCATTTGAAAAATTGAAAGATAATCAAAGTTTTGTGTTAAGATCATTCTGGCCTTGCACTGGAGCTAAATGGGGAGGGTATAAATATGGAGTTGCTGAGGGCCACTGTGTGGGGACAGCTGCTGAGAGTAAAGCCAACACAGATAGTATAGGACTCGCAGAGGTTGGGGGACAGGTAGGGAGCAAGTAGAGAGAAAGCAAGGAGGACAGAGAGAAAGAGTGAGAAGGACGAATTTAAATGATGTAATATGAGCACCTAGATCCAGCCATACCTGATGCCACACTATCTATTCACATATGCAAGCTGATAGATTTCTCTTTTTGCCTAAAAAAAAAAGTCCTCATAGAATAGATGTTCTTCTCTCCGATGCTACTGGCATACATAACGGTAACATCCAGGGACCAAGAGGCTTTTTGAAACTGTCTTTTATCCCACCCCAAGCCTAGGAGAGGAGCCAGTCACCTGCAGTCAAAGCCTAAACTCTCCCCTCCAGTGCAGGCCTCTGTGTTCTTTTCCACCAAGCTCTGTCGCCGTCTGCCTGGATTCTTAGAAAGGAAGCCCAATCCCCCTTCCTGTTCACATACTCTCCCAGCCCACCATAGCCGTCCCAGCAAAGACGAGCTCCCTCACTGGGCATTTTCCAGGACACAAACATGTGGGGACTTTGGGACCAGGTGCAAGGCTGTGTGCTTCACTCAGCGGTGGAAAAGTTGGCTGCGGGTGGGATCTAGGAGAGCAGACGGGTCAAATTCCTCGGTGGACACTGTGCCAATCCCAGTGGACCATTTGCAGGAGTGCCTGATGAGTACTGTCAGTTTTTAAAAATAAGCTTTTCTGGAGAGAACCGTGACTTTCTGCAGCCTTGGCTCTCACGCGGGGGTGGCAGGGGCCATGGGATGGGAGGCTGGTGATGTGCTGGGGGCAGGGGGCTAACCCCTTTGGTGCAGAGCAAAGACAGTTTTCAAAATGAGCCTTGTTTTTAAGGAAAATGTAACAAAGGAAGGGAATAATTACAAAAGGGCTGTAGAGGAGCGGCCAGAATTGGACTTCGGTGGGAGACTATTTTTCCTCTAGGCCTGGCATAGAGGGAGAGTCGGAGAGAGAAGGGAGAGAGAATAATTGGAAACACAGTGTCTTGGTCACATGCTTCTGCTTAGCTTTGGTAATTGTGCTCAGGACATTGGAACCAGCTATGGCTCCTAATGGGCCCAAACGTCAGCAGAGCTTGGGGGCAAGCTCTGCCTTTCCCAGGGGTACAGCAGCTCTCCAAAGGTCTTCTAGGCCTGGCCAGGGTGCTTTCTGGGATTTTGCCCCAGGCTCCACGAGTGTTTGCCAGGCTCTTGTCGGTTTTTCTCTGCCCCTAGCGAGTCCTCCGCAGGACGACCTTAAGGGTCTCTTCCAGAGGCTTCCCGGGGATGCGCAGAGAAGCTTCCAGCATGGCTACCCCAATAGCACCAGCTGCTTTCACTTCCGGCAGAAAAACCCAAAGGATTTGCTTTAGCCTGGGAAACGGCTCTCCCACTCCCTGGAGGCCTTTGGCTCCCAACCACTAGCTCACCCCCCACCCCTTCCACGGAGTGCTGGGGCTGGAGGGGTGTCCCCTCACACACACGAGGCCACTGCACCCCAGAGAGGGATGAGGACTGACGCCCCATCACGGTCCTCCGTGGACCTCTAGACCCACCTTGGCTGTGCTGTCATCCATATAGAAAATGCAAAGGCCAAGAGGATAAAGCCAAAGGGCAAAGAAGTGGCTAGTTCCCCCTTTAAAGGAGTTTAAACAACTTTTGGACTGTGCCGGGGAGCAGGGTCAGTAAGCTCGCCCGCCCGCCCTCCCTTCCTCCTTCCCTCACTCCCTCACTCCCTCCCTTCCTTCCTTCCTTCCCATTTGTTTCATTCAGCTCTTGTTGAAAAAGCATGACGGGTCCGTCGCAATGCTGGGCAAAGCTAACTCACTGGAGGA